CGCGTACTGAACCGCGAACGGCCACAGAAAGTGGGGAGCAGCCGCATGGATCATGGACGTACGAGCGACATCCATGACCATGCCAATGCGGCGCTCAGCAATCCCATTTTGCTGTGGAGAGGCCGGAAGCGTGAACGTCTGGCGGATGCCCTCCGCCCGACAGAAGGCCCGCAGAAGGTCAGAGGAAAACTCACCACCTCTGTCTGAGTGCAGACGCAGAACAGGAAAGTCCGAGCCGAAACTCTCTCTGAGCTGGAGACGAGCAGCGCGGATCCAGTCGATCAACACCTCAGTGACCTCACCCTTGCGGCGCAAGGGGAAGACCGTGGTGTAACGTGAGTAGTCGTCAACAACCAGCAGGAAGTAACGCTCGTGACCCTGTCCACGGACGCGAGCTGGGCCCCACACGTCCATGTGAAGAGTCTGCAGGGGAGCCTCTGTCGGAGGAAACTCGGAGGAGTGAGGAGCGGCGCGCTGCCGGCCCTCGACGCAGGGAACGCAGGTAGGGGCAGGCCCCGGAGGAAGGGGAGGGAGGGACTCAGGAAGACCCGAGACCAGGACACGGGAGGCCATGCCTCGAAGACGAGGCAGGGAGGGGTGACCAAGGCGGTGGTGCCAAAGAAGAGTCTCGTGGGCCAGGAGGCGACACGAGCAGGGGGCAGACTCAGGGCCAGACCGGGACGCTGCAGCAAACACCTGACCCGACGCGGCTACCTGACGAGGAGGAGACGCAGTGGTGAGGGTGTACAGGCTGGACCCTGGCCTACGGGTGAACGTGGCCAGGTGACGACCCGTCCGAGCACACGTGCAGTGCGTCACACGCTGGTGGGCAGGGGTGAACTGGTGAACACCCCCATCGTGAAGATCAGCACCCGCCACCAAGTTCGTAGAGAACGAGGGGAGGTGAAGACCAGTCAGCGAGCCGGACGGAACAGCAGGGCACGGGAGGACAGTGGAGGAACGGGCCACAACTGGTCCCCCAGAGGGGTCAGCCAGAGAGACTGCCACCGGCCGACTAAGCGGCGAGAGGGTGGTGCAGTCGCGAAAGAAGGAGCGGGAGGCACCCGAGTCAAGGGTGAAAGTGTGCAAGACCTGAGCCGACGCGGTACCTGAGAGAGCAGCCTCACCAGCACCTGGAGCAGCAGACTCACTAGCACCTAGAGTAGCAGCCTCACCAGCACCTGGAGCAGCAGACTCACTAGCACCTAGAGCAGCAGCCTCAATGCCCGGGTCGGGCAGAACACACAGGTAAGAGTCACCCTCAGCACTAATAGACACAGCATACATAGCAGCAAGGATAGTGTCATAGTCAAGATCAAAGATAGCAACCCCCGACCTAAGCAGATCACCCCAGCGAGGGATCTCAGTGGAGCCAGGGAACTGTGCACGCCAGGCGTCAGTCAGGCGGCCGGTGCAGTGGGGTGTGGTGTGCGGGCCGCCGCACGTCTCTCCACTGCGGTCGCCGGTGCGAAGAACGTAAGCGCAGGGACCAGCACCCCCAGACCTCCCACGCCCAGCGTACCACTCACGGAGCTGCTGAGGCGACGGGGTCTCACGGGAGCGCTGCTGCTGCTGGCGCTGGTCACCGTTAGAGCCTCCCCGCTGCCCACCGCCACCCCCACCTCCGCCTCCGCCGCCGCCACCTCCACCCCCACTCCCGCTGCCTCCGCCACCTCCACCTCCACCGCCGCCACCGAAGCCCCCACCCGAGCCACCACTCACACCTCCACCTCCACCCCCACCCCCTCCGCCTCCTCCACCACCACCACCTCCGCCCCCGCCGCCCCCTCCACCCCCCTTGCCCCCCTTGCCCTTGCTGTTGCGGCGCCTCCCACTAGGAGCAGACGCAGCGCCGACCGACTCGGTGCCAACAAGGTCGACAGCAGCAGCAGAGGCAACAGAGGGCAAGAGGGGAGAGGGGGAGCACCCCTCAAAGAAAGGGGCGCGAGGGTCACCACGAGAGGCCCCTACAGCGACTATACTCTTCTCAGCTGCAAGGAGGCGCTCCTCGAGGAGGTCAACGGTGAGCGTGGTGGGGCAGAGGGAGAGGAAGTGGTCCCTGACCGAGCAAAGGGAGTCAGGGAGCCGGGTGACGAGGTAGTAGAGGGTGATGTACATAGGGGGGGGGTTCTTGGCGCAGAACTCGGCAGGAAGCGCAGCGCGGTAGCGGGTGTCACTAGTGCGGAGGTGCGTAATGAGGTCAGCGATTGTTGCAAACGCGGCTAGGTCAGGGAACAGGTACGGCAGCATGAGGCGGCTAAGGGCAGCAGTGGCAGAGGAGGAGTAGCGTGCAACAACAGCGTCGTACAAGGTCTTAGCACTCTTGTACTGACTAAAGTGCGCGCGCTCAGAGGACGGCAGGTGACTACGCACAGCAAGGCGAGCAGCAGCATCGCGCGTGGTACAGACCGAGCGAGCAGTACTAGCAGCATCAGCAGCAGGGGCAGCAGAGGCACCAGACGTGAGATCGAACAGTGAGAGGCCGTCTTTGCTATCGCACTGCAGGAAAAGCTGCAGATCATCTATCCAGACCTCAAAGTCTACCGCTCGACCCTCAGCATCAAAGGTAAGAACGTTGGGACTAGCCATGACAGCAGCAGCAGCAGGCTAGCAGCAGCAGCAGCAGAAGCAGGCTAGCAGTAGCAGCAGCAGGAGGGGCGCGGCTCGGCGGTGCGCTTACCAGGGGCGGGTGGGTAGAAGCCCGCAAGTGGTGGGGCAGGGCCGAGGTGCGTCGGCAGGATCAGGGCCGCGACAGGGCGGCAGGGCAGGGCCGCGACTCGGCTGCAGGGCAGGGCCGGGACGGCGGTGGCGGCTGTCACGGCAGTGGCGGCGGCGGCTGTCTCAGCAGCAGCGGCGGCAGCTGTCACGACAGGAGCGGCGGCGGCTGTGACGACAGCAGCGGCGGCGGCTGTCCCGGCAGCAGCGGCGGCGGCGAACGGCCGTGGCGGAAGCGGCAGCGGCAGGAGGCGCGACGGCAGCTGCTGCTGGGGCGGCAGCGACGGAGCGGCAGGGCGGCTACGGCGGGCCGCGAAGAGCCGCGGAGGGGCCCCGGAGGGCCGCGAAGGGCCGCGAAGAGGCCGCGAAGGTCCGAGAGGGGGGCCGCGAAGGGCCGCGAAGGGGCCGCGAAGGGCCGTGAGGGGGCCGCGAAAGGCCGCGAAGGGGCCGCGAAGGGCCGTGAGGGGGCCGCGAAGGGCCTTAAGAGGGGCCGCGAGGGGCCGCTAAGGGGTCACGACCGAGACCGCGAAGGGGCCGCGAAGGGGGGCCGCTAAGGGGGGCCGCGAAGGGGCCACTAAGGGGCCGTTAAAGGGCAGGCCACTAAGGGGCCGCGAAATTTTAGGGCAGGACGCGAAGCGCGTTTAGGGCAGGCTAATTTTTTTTTTTGAAGGTGGGCCCAAGGAAGAAACGGTCCCACTAGGGAACCCGCTCTATACCATGTGAAGAAATTAGGAATGAATGAACTAGGAAAGTGTTGAGTACAAATATGAAACCCTAGAAACTTTTACCCCTTAGTGTCTACCCCACTATAGCCTACACAGACTAAGTCATATATGTCTGACAGAACGGGTTCCTACGGGAATTGGGGACTTCGAGCACGCCACAATACGCGCCGTCGCTGTGAATGCCGTCACCACACCGTTCAAAGGGAGCTGCTTCGCATGCAATCGGCTGGGGCACCGCATACGAATGCCCCGAAGCTAAAGGAAATGGAGGTGCCGAGCAACAGAAACAGACTAAGCAGCAGAATAACGCTGGAAGTCAGTAGCAGGCGGGCCCTCTACTAACAAGTCACGCTGCTCGCCCGACCCAACCGACCCTCACCGAGTGACGGTGCGGATTTATGCAATCGACCTGACTCGGCTGAACAAGGAGGGTATAGTGGTAGATAGTCCCACACTGCTAAGCGATAATATTCACACAGACGTAGTTGAGATATTTGTGAATAACGCCATAGCTTAAATCAATACCGCCACCGCACGGAAACTAAAACTACCATTGGACAGATGCTTACCTGAGATCGACGCAAGTCTGGTCGACGGAACACCACTGGCCATACGGGAACGTGTGTACCCGCATTCACCTAGGAAATGCTGGCCACGACCCTCGACGGAACCAATATTTTACTCCTTTGGGATTGGCTGCTACGACACTGTTGACGGGGAATGGCCCCACCCTCGCTTGGGCGAAGCAGACTTCACAGTCGGGGGAGCGTAGAAGTTGACGCAGACTGAGCGTAGAAGTCGACGTCGACAGCCCGCAGAGTTCGACGTCGACCTGTCCGCAGAGTTCGACGTCGACCTGTCCGCAGGAGTCGACATCGACGAGCTCGCGTAGTGATGGAAAGCGTGCGAATCTAGAGAGCGTAACAAGAGATTATGTCGGGTACTCATAAAAGACAATGATTGAACCTCCAAGGCCGCCATGGATATCTCCAGGACCTATGAACCGACCAATGTCGGTCAATTTCTTATCAGTTGCCACTTTCAAGGACAGTTTTGGATTCTACGTGGCACGACGCATGTGGGAGTATCGTTTTTGTGCCTATCCCTTGGGCATGTTACTAACCATGCGAGTGTCAGGTTATCCCGAGGTCCTAAATGCAACTTCAAGGTTTGACCCACATGTCAGCATAGGACCTACTGGGTGTTGCAAGGCACTAAGCCTATCCCTTGGGCATGTTAGTAACCATGCGAGTGTCAGGTTATCCCGAGGTCCTAAATGCAACTTCAAGGTTTGACCCACATGTCAGCATAGGAGCTACTGGGTGTTGCAAGGCACTAAGGAGACCTGCTACCTATTACAAGGACGCATCTGTCATCGGTTTTACCCAGCATCGGAAGCCTACTTTGCAATCAATCTCAACAACCTCCCAGGATCATCCCTATGGGAAGCCCAGGAAGAAAGCTCGGCCTAAACCGGGACATCACAGTTTAAATACGGCTGTGCTCAGACTTCTGCTATCATCGTCAAGGCTTTTGCCTCGTGAGCGTCATCATTGCATCATGAAACGTCCGCCGAAGAAGACCGTGCTTCCTGCACCCCCTCCGAAGTCAGGTGAGAAGGAGAGGTCGCTGCTGGACAAGGGACACCACTCTGAGCCTGCTACGCCGAAGCCGATGTTGAAGGAGGCGGTTGGTCCCTTCGCGGACGATACTTGGATGTCGCTGGAGAAGAAGCTTGCCTCATTGAGTTTCACTTCCCTGGAGGACAAGGCTCAGGGGGAGTCAAGCACTGCAACGGACGGCAAGGAGAAGGGAGTTGAGTCGGACGCGCCTGCCGATGGGGCTCCCGCGGACCCTGTGGAAGAAGAGGACGAGGATGACGAAGAGGATGATGGATATTTGAGTGACGACCCTGAAGAAAGGTTGGATCCGGTGCGTGCAGGTGAAGTCGCGGCGCTTGCGGGCTTCACACTCACCCTGCTGATCCCTCACGATTGGGTGAAGGAAGTCCCACGGACTATTGACACGGTAAAGGAGCTGATCGTTTATTGGAAGAAGGCGCTGACTCCGCAAGCGCAAACCACGACGAACTTCCAGATACTGCAGCCGGCGTACCTGTCGAAGAAGCGTTTCGGTAGGATGCAGGTTACCTTCAGGATGGCTGCGGATGCGAACTACGTCTGGCGCCGTCGCGTGGAGCATTTTTGTGTAAACAACGAGAAGCTGATCTTGGACTGGCAGCACCCGGAGAACTCGCTGTACCTCAAGGAGCGTGCACAGAACCCGGATGCAATCGAAGTGTTGTTGAAGAGTGTGCCGGAGGAAATCTCATCGGATATGGTCTACAAGTTCCTGGTGAAGACTCCGCTGGAGAAGCATGGCCACCCCCCTTTTCAGCATGGCGCGGCTTTCCACCGGATGGTGGACCCTGTGACGGGGGCTGACACGGACAAAATTAAGGGTGGTGAAAGTGCACCCAAAGGATACGTATCGGTGGTGGCACATGCTGTACGACACCGTTCATCACAAGCAGCTGCTCGTCCATTTCCCGTCTTTAAAGTGTGATTTTTGCAACGGCATGCATCGAAGCTGCATGACGACTATGTCACGGACAGGCAAGAGAACATATCAAAGTGGAATCTCACCTTGCAGCGCATCCATGACATCAACGGTAATCAGAGAACCGCTAACCTTGCTTTGCAGGCTGTCGGGGTCCAGATCTAGAACGCTGATGGCCACTCTCCACCCTGCTTGAGCAGCTGCGTCGCATCGTGTCTCGGCGACGATGAAGAAGATTCTCCGGGACCCGGCGGTGTCCCTGATCTCAACAGGAGGGAGGACTAGATCTGTGTCCAGGAAGCATGCGAGAAGGTGCGCGGCTCCAGCTTCGCACAGGCGTTGCCACACGTGCGTTCAGTCCAGCACTGCACCGCGATCCTGAAAGGGGGAGGTGCTACTCGGGCGAGATGGGGGAAGGTGAACCTTATTGCGATCCGCAAGGAGTTTGGACTGTGATAGCAACGGCGTCGCCGGGCAGGCACGCTGGAGTAAGGTGCAAATGGAGGCCGGTGGAGGCTGGCAGGCGTTTCGGTTTCTGTAGAGGTAGAAGGCAGCAAGGCAGTCAGTCTGTTTGTGTTTGTTTCCAAGCCCGTGGATGCGAAGGGGCTCTGACGTGGTTGATTAATGGATAACACCATCAGCAACATTACACTGTGTGAGGTCAACGTCAATGGCCTCGGAAGCAATGGGAAAAGGAGCAAAAACAGAAAGTGGATTAAGAAAACGGCGGACATAATGATTCTGACAGACACACGCATAGGGGAGGACCACAATTTCTGGACGCAACTGTGGCCATCGGCGATAGCGACTGTCGCTCCGAGCCAGAAGGCAGGAGGGGTGGCGGTTCTCTCGTTTGTGGAGGGGATACGTTTCAAAGAGATCACCAAGCATAAATCAGGCAGGTTGATAGGGGTAAGCCGTGCTCAGCTGGAGCTCAAGCTAATAGCGGCGTATCTGTCGGCGCAAGCGGGGACAAGGGCCACGTTCCTCACCAACTGCATAACCCCTTTCGTCCAGGCGCAGCCAGCCTCGGCTCAGAGATGGATCGATCGTCGCGCGCTGGTTCCAGCTCAGAAGATCAGAGGTTGAAGAAGTTCTGGCCGATGCATGACATCCGGGACGTCTTCCGCGTGCTTCATCCATCCCGGCGGGAGTACACCTTCTTCTCGCGGGCGTCGCAGACCAGTTCGCGCATTGACAGGGCGCTGGTTTCGTTGTCAGCGATGAGCCTGGTGACGGAGGCAAAGCACGTTCGGGTCCCGAAGTCGTTGTCGGACCACTGGTTTGCAATCCGAATGGGCTTCTCTCTGATGGCGTCGCAGGAGAGGGGGCCAGGGATGTGGAGGCTGCAAGCAAAGCAAGTGGACACAAAAGTGGTTTAGTCGATAACGGAGAGTATCCTAAAAAAGCTGGAAGGAGAACCGGACGGCGAGCTGGAGAAAACACTGAAGCTGGTTACGGCAGGGCTGCGGGCGCATACCAGGGAGGAGAAGAGACAGATCCGGGCGACAATCGCGCACCTCGAGAAGGAGGTGGAAGTGCTCCGACATGCGGTGATGCAGCGGCCGTCGAGGAAGAGGCTGCAGGACAGGTTGATCAGGGCGGAGGCCAAGCTGGAGGTCTACCTGGAAAGAGATAGGGAGAGGCTACAGGTGCTGGCAGGCCTGAACGTGGAGCTGAGCGGTGAGGTGCCTTCGCCTTACCTGACGGCTAAGATAAAAATACGGAAGAAGCGTACGGTGGTGCAGGAAGTCAACCACCAAGGGGTGATGTACCGGGGCACACGAGAGGTTTTGAAGGCGGTGGAAGACCACTTTGGGACCGCTTTCGCGGATGTGGGGCCAGAGGAGGAGGTAGACTGGGAGAGTTTTGCGAGGGGGCCGCGCATCTCAAAGGAGGATGCAAAGGAACTGGGGAGGAGCTGGTATGAGGAGGAGGTAAGAGATGCGATTGGGTCACTGCCGAAGGGGAAGTCCCCGGGGCAGGACGGCTTACCGGCGGAGTTTCTTGCGACGCACTGGGGGCTGCTCGGCAGCAAGGTGATGCAGTTTGTCCATGAATTCGAGGCGGGGAAAGATCTTCCGGACAGCCTGGCGACGGCGGTCACGGTGCTTCTGCATAAAAAAGGAGACAGGGATCAGCTGGGGAACTACCGGCCGATCACGCTGCTCAGCGTGCTATACAAGGCAGTGGCCAAAGTGATGGCAACGCGTTTAAAGAAGGTGCTGGGGAAGGTGCTGTCAAATGAGCAGCACGGTTTCCTACCAGGGAGGAGTCTGGCGGACGCGGTGTCGGTGGTGGTCGATGCGGTGGAAGCAGCAAACAACCGAGGGAAGGACTGGCTGTTGCTGCTGGTGGATTTTCAAAAAGCGTACGATACCGTCTCGAGGAAGTTCCTCTTCAGAACTTTGCGGGAGCTGGGTGTGCCGGCAAACTTCGTTGGATGGACAGAAGGCCTGCACAGAAACGCAGGAACGAAAGTGGCGATTAACGGTTGGCTCAATGAGAAAGTGGAAGTGGAGAGGGGGGTGCGGCAAGGGTGTCCACTGGCCCCTTACCTCCTCTTGTGCGCCTTGGAGCCACTATGCAGAGAAACACACCGCAGGAGGCTGGGCGTGGAGGCGCCGGGCGCGGAGCGGCTGTCGTACGTAGGGTATGCGGACGAGACGTCTTTCCTCCTGGAAGGGGAAGAACAGCTGAAGGAGTCGGAGGGTATGCTGGAGTCTTTCGGGAGGCAGTCTGGACTGAAGGTCAACTGCGGCAAGTCGGTGGTGCTGCCACTGGGTTGCAACCGCGGGAAGCAGGCGCCAGATGAGGCGACAGATAAGAAAAGATTTATACTATGGAGTGCTTACTCAGAATGGAGGGCGGGTTGGGTCTGGCTGACCTGAAGATATGGCTGGATGGGCTGGCGGTGCGCAGAGTGGGGAAGCTGCTAGCAGAACCAGACGGGGTCCGGAGGTGGCTTGCGGAAGAGGCGGCAGAGCTTCCTCAAGGGACGGTGACATGGTATGCGCATCCTGTAGTGATCAAGAAGTGGACGGGGGGAAGCGAGAGATGGAAGGCAGCGGCGAAGGCTTTCTGGAAAACTCCGTTTGCGGATCTACCGGACCCGTTGTGTCGGTGGGAAGTCGACGAGGAATGGGTCTGTTTCAACAGGAAACTGATGCGCAGGGGGAAGAGCCCTTTTGGGTTACAAAAGGGGTCGGAGTGGATAATGAACCTGAGGGTGAGGGATCTTCTCACTGAGGTACCAGGAGACCGCAGGAGGCCAAAGAGTGTTGAGGAGTTAACGGCGGAGATAGGGGATGAAGTGGCAGCAGCCCTGGCGGCTAAGGCATACGAGGCGCTTCCGGCGGCATGGAAGGAGATGGCGCTGGCCCCGGTGACGGCGCAGGCGCTCAAGGAGGCGACGTCGGTCGTCAGCGTGCTGACAAGGCAGCCAGGAGAAAAAGCCTACTGGAAGGTGACAGGGACAGAGGGGGCTAAAATCGTGGCCTCCCATCTACATCTCAAAGAGAGCGGGAAGTTGGAGGCGCTGGCGGGCTCTGCGAAGGCTTGTTTCGAAGTCTGCGGGGTGCAGTCAGTGGCGGAACATGATATGGTGCTGGTCGGGCCGGTGGGTGTCGCGAGGACGAAGCTGCTTACAAAGAGTAAACTATTCAGTAAGGACGGGCTGGCTCCTCTGCGGCAAGTCCGGCAGATGATGACGAAAAATACAGGGACATCAAGAAGGCAAGGTGAATGGGAGGCTGTGTGGGGAAGGAAGATAGACTGGAAGGCAACGATTGAAAGGAGGGACTCGGTGGTGATATTGCTGAGGGCGCGTGATGTCCTTCTCAGAGCCCAGAGCATGAACCTGCAAGTGGGGGGCAGGCTGGATTTCATGCGGAACAGTATCGACTGCCCCCACTGTGGTGGATACGAAACCCTCGACCATTGCTTATTCAGGTGTGAGGTTATCCAGCCGGTCATCGGCGCGTTGGTGCGGTCCCTGGAGCTGATGAACCCGGGCAGAAGGACGAACTCTCTAGAAGACCTGCTTTTTGAGAAGGGCGGCACCACGTCAGGCTTCCCAGAGATGACTCTGATTGCGACGGTTTTACGGCAGGTGTGGCTGGCCAGATGTGATGCGGCGTGGCGGGCAGACCCGTTTCAAAGGAAAAAGGTGGGGCGCAACGCGGTGCTGGGGTTCATGACGCATGCGCGGGTGGTGCTGGCAGCGAGGACGAGGGCGGCGGCTAAGGACAAGAACCGCAAGGAGGGCTACGATGCGTGGGCCCAAGTGGCAGACGATGAGAGGAGGGCTTTACAGGAGATTTGCACGGCGGAAGGGCCAGCCAGGTGGTCGGATGCATTTCTATCCATCTGGCATAACCCGATGACTTTGTACCAGCCTCCGTAGTAGGCGTTGGGGGGATGCATCTTGCTCCATGTCAGCATGATGTGTGTCCCCCATGTCTCCAGTTACGACTGCGGGTGTACCTATGTTTTCATTAATATATCTACATAAAAAAAAAAACAAAAACAAAAAAACAAAGAGATGATGTCCGCCGACGTCGACGGAACATTGCGTGCAGCTCACGTAACCTTAAACTGTGAGCAGGTACGCGTTTGAAAGGTCTTAATCTCTACTTTCCAGAATGGTAACGCACGCCTTCAACGAAGATCTAGGCCGATCGCTATCGTGATTTAAGTGCGATGGGGTATCCTGGCGGAATTACTTGGCAGCCATGGATTAGGTCTAGGAGTAGCTATATCAAGAGTTTAGATCTCAAAAAGTGACGCGTTTGTCAAACCCTACCATCCCAACCCTCGCCCTACAACAATTCCCAACAACCCAAAGTACCAAACTAGCAACACCAAAGGTGTTGTAGTGAATAGCGAATATTTGTTGGTGCTTGTTGGGTGCGAGTTCAAATCCACCCCGCCACAAGTCTAGCAACCACATTTTGCCCAAGCCCTTAGCCCACAACCAGCTAGAGCAAAATACCACAACCACCTACACAATCAACACATAGGACGCTGGTCGACGAGCTCGCAGAGGACGCTAGTCGACGAGCTCGCAGAGGACGCTGGTCGACGAGCTCGCAAATGACGCTGGTCGACGAGCCCCATCGAGGGGCACTGGTCGACGAGCTCTACTCGACGAGCTCGTCTAGGCGAACGCTGTTCGGCGGAGCATCGTTGAGCTGGCCGACGCAAGTGGCTCGACTGTGAAATCCGATGTATGGGCGAATGTCGCCCATGAGGTTTTCCCAAAGTCAACCTGCGGAACGGAATCACGTGCTCGACGGTGCACGGCTGGAAAAACCGTCAACACGTATTCTGGCACCTGCGCAATGTGCCTGGCGGCGCGACCGTCTACCTGCACCTACTTCGTAGTCCACTCCCGTTGTGTAGTGACTTTCTGTAGACACAACCGACCAATAGACTGGACGACGAGCTATTGCAGCATGCGAGTCAATGGTAACAGTATTGCTGTGAGTCTTCATCGGTTCAGGTCAACGCCATCACGATGAAACGCGCAGTAGCAGCAGGAGCAGACGTGTACGTGATGTTCGAGCACGCCACGCAGCTGGCGAGTACGGCGGAGCGAACATGGACGTTCTGCTCCTTGGAACCGGCGTGTACTGGGCGCGCGATCATCCAACGAACCGTACTGAGGCGGATGGTCTGCCCGCCACTCCCTGACCGGCACGCAACGAAGGCGGCATCGACGAGAGAGTCCATGGCGGTGACCAAGTCGGCAGCGACGAGGGCACGAGGAGGATGAGTGGAGTGATCAGGGCCGTCGACGACCGGATCGACGGAATACATGCGCGAGTGCAACGGTCGACGGCGGCCGCTGGCAGCTCTTACGGCGACGTCAACTCCACTTGCACGTCACCCAGTTCCGCGCAATTTTTGAAGTCACCCTCAACCCGGTTTTCGAACACACCTCAGATTGTTTTTGCAAAACAAGTTGGGATTTCGACCGTCATATCGATTCAAATCTCAACGGCCGAGAAATTTCCGCTCAAAAAGTTTGGAATTTGGAGTGTCGGATTGAGTCGCGTTTCAACAGCCAAGATCGGATGTGCGAAAATTGACGTGTATGGGAGAATTGCGCAACAACCAAGATCGGACGTGCGCAATTTGACTTGTATGGGAGAATTGTGACACCGACAGCATCCGCGCTCAACAAATTCGAAATCGTATCCTGTCGCAACAGTCGACCAGCGCACAAGAACGATATATTTTCGCCCAAATTTTCGTGCAAATCGCCGAATGGAGGAAATCGGCGACACATTTGTACGAGAAATCACGGAGTTACGTGTCGAGGAGGAGCAGAAACGTGCGGCGCTCCTACGACTCAAAAAACTCCTTGCGAACCAATCGGTAGCCGCAGCAGCAGCAGCGACGGTGGCGACACCAACAATTGTACATGCGACAACGGCAGCGACTACAGTCAACCTCGAAGCAGCAAAGCTGAGGCTATCGGAGGCGTTCGATCCTAGCGCGAAAAGGAGCGACGTCCGTCGATTTGTAGCTGTACTCGAAAATTGCTTTGAAGTCGTTGGATGCACGACCCCGACCCAAGACGCGATGCGCATACGACTGCAACAATACTGTTACGAGGCCTGGCACTAGAGTGGATCAACGCAAACAACAAAATTGTTCAAGGCGAAGGGACGTGGGCGCAGTTACGGGCAGCACTGATCGAACAGTTCGACGCGTTGAACAGTAGCTACTACAGAACACGACGCAACCAGCCAAATATGGATTTTGGTACGGAGCGATTGGCACCACCCACGACTGCCGACCCGATGGACATTGACAAGGTCGATGCAAAGCAGCGGCGCTACAGGACATCGTACCTTGGCTTGTTGGAAAATGAGGAAAGGACGTGCGGAGTTGAAGGGCAAGAACAGTGCGGCACCCCCGAAGCAAAAAACGGACAACGTGGCGACTTTGGAGATGGCGAAAAAATGATAATATGATGGCGGATTCTAAAACGTCATGACCGGCCGGCACCAGGGGGAAATCCAGACCCTGCAAAACAAGACCCTGCACTGACGGGAAACTCCAGCGGTACACCTCGACATGTAAGAATTCGTTTAAGTTACCCTATAAAGATACTTTAACTAAGAATATTACTTCTCGTGGTTTTCAAGCCTTTGAATAGATCAAGGGAGAGTTAGAAATAATATAGGCACACTCAATCTTTGAAGTATGGATCCAACTCCGGAGCGTTGAAAATGGTCGAGCGTTCCGAGGAGTTAATATTCTTCCCCAGCAGCACCGTGTCAAGGCTCCCCATTTCACACTGGAGAAGCCTACACAGCTGCAAAGACCAGGAGAAACTGAATCGACCTCGGATAAATCTTTCTAACCCTTCTCAGGTGAAAACTGATATTGAGTCTGCAGCTTAGGGTGAAGGACCTAGGGATGATATATTTGATGTACCCTATGATCATATAAGCAATACAATCTATGGCTACTCGGAGCGGCATCAACCACTACTGCACGATGTGCTCAGTAAAGGGCGACGCCTCAAGGCATTGGTGGACAGTGGTCTGTCCCATTCGGTGTGTGACCGCAGAACGTTGGAAAATACTGGGGAGTCCTCGGAGGAGACCCAGTTTACAGAACGATGGTGGACGGCACGAAGCTTCCCATCCACGGCGAGTCAACACTGCAGCTGCAGATAGGGGCGTTGAGGTGGAAGCCAATGCTGCCAATCACGAACATCAAGGGATTGGATTTCATCTTGGGGCGTGATTTTCTGAAGCTGTTCAACCTTGAGATAGATTGGGTCAAACGGAACGCCAGCATCTACAACAACGGGAAACAGGTGGAGCTGCGAAGCTGGATGGATACAGGAGAGGTTCCTGAAACGACACTTGCACGGTTCGAACGGACCGTGAACGAGAGTAACACGGGTTGCCTAGCACTGGTGATTGCAGCAGCAGAGGAGGAGATGCCTGTTGAAATATATTTCTTATATAAACTGCTTGTAGCAGTAGTTAGTGTAGTGTTACATTGGTGGTGCACCTCATTCCCTTGTCCCTTGCACTATATCTTGTGTCTTTGCTCATTAGTGAACCACCTTTTCTCCTTTGCTCAACTATCTCGACACTCATGCTAGTACCTTCAACCCTAGCTATGGCTACTAAGTTCTAGCTACTGTTTTGAAATGCTATCAGAGCACGTAAGATCCTGGCCTGTTACTTTTTAATTACCCCATGGGCCCACCGTTAGCTTCCGCCAAATGCCTTACTCTGCTGCCCGTCGCGCGCTCCGTGCGCGCGTCAGTTTTCTGCTCGTCGCGTGCCCCGGGGCGCGTCGATTTTCTGCCCGTCGCGCGCCCCGGGCGAGCGTCGATTTTCCGCCCGTCGCGCGCCCTGGGCGTGCGTCGATTTCGTGCCCGTCGCGCGCCCCGGGCTCGCTACGGTTTCCTGCCCGTCGCGCGCCCCGGGTGCGCGACGGTTTCCTGCCCGTCGCGCGCCCCGGGCGCGCGCGACGGTTTCTTCCCGTCGTGCGCCCTGGACGCGGGACGGTTTCTGCCCGCCAGCGCGCCCTACTGTCGCCTGCGCAGCTCCTACCCCGCCCCCCCCCCCCCCGCCCCCCCCCCCCCCCCTTCTCCTTCATCTCCCTGCTGCACGTGCAGCAGTGGGGGGAGGGTATGAGGGTGGCGGGTGTGAGTAAACTGCTGCTCCTCCTCCTCCTCTCTCTCCCACTGCTGCAGCTGCCGCTGAGGGGGGAGGGTGTATGGGAGCCGAGGGAGTGGCGCTAGGGATGCAGAAGGGGGGTGTGGAAAAGGGGTGTGGGACAATGGGGGGAGGTTGAAAGGAGTTAGCCGACATGAAGCCAG